TACGCGGATTTTATTGTTATTATTTAACGTAGACTTTTGGTGATGCCATACAGAATAGTCTATTTTTGCAATCACACATTTTCCTAGTCTGTTCAATTCTTAATTGGATCTAAGGCCGCAAAAGGTACCCTTCTTTTTGGTTTAAATGTCGGTGTTACGTTGTCTTTTAACTCAGACTTAGTTTTTGCTATCGTGCATGACCCTAGACCTTCTGAGAAAACTTCTGGAAAACTATTTTTCAGTTCATTTTTCAGTTGCTGTATTGATACTGGTAGTAACAATATCTATCTCGTTGCAAAAATAGTTCATTGGAAGGTACCAAAGATCAAATAATGTAATCCAGTTTTACAAACAAATTAGCAGCATTCTTTAATACAAACGCCACCGCTTTCTTGGTTTTTCCAACAAAAGAAACATTACAATTGAATTCACCCCCAAAAGTCAATATCTTTCCTGGGGATGCATTCGCAATTTTATAAGAAGTCAATAAACTGGGTTTACCCATTTTTCTCCATGTCTGTTCATTTATAATAGTGATATCAGATTCTGTATCTAGTTGCAATTTTATTTTTATATCATTAATTTCCACAAAAACAAATATCCTTTTTTGAAATGTCTTGGTAATTTCCCTTTTAGGCTTCTTACTGTTACTACATGTATTTATCATCATACGTTTTATTTTTTCCTCATTTTTGTATCTGCAACACGTACTTTTGTGTCCTAATCTCCCACATTCATAACATTTTTTGTTCTTGACACTGTACGTTGACGCTCTTCCGCTATTTTCTGGAGAGTTCATTTGGAATCCCTTTCTAATTCAACAAGTATCGAGGATCTTATTTCCGCGTCCTTATTAGAAGTTAAAGCCTGTACGAATACCAGGCCTTTAAATAAATCAAGAATTAATTCATTTAACTTGAACTTTTCACATTCTCGATTCACGACTCCCACATAAGTGACAAAATCTTTATCGTCGAACTTAAATTAAGACACTGCCATCGTGTATTAAATAATGAACTCCTATCATCAAAACTTGTTGATAGTATTAGAACTGTTTCATCAAAATTGATCTCAAATGGATTTTTAGACAAAATATAATTCATATATTTTTCATGTCCATCAGGGGACAATTTTCATAACAATAAACGAACTTTATTTTCATCATTCCAATACGAACAATTCCTTTTTAAGATCCCTTCGTATCTTCTATAATAAGCTTGAAAAGTTATACTTTCGTCTGGATTGTACACAAATTTGTTGATTGAATTAGAAAAAGCATCTTGAGTGAATGAATCTGAAGTTTTTTCCTTTGCTTGTGAAACAACTCAAAAACCTTCTGTTGTTTTAGCTGCAGTTGTAATTTGTTATACCTGACGTACCTGTTCTATTATTAATAGACTCTCCCACACATAAGTAGTAGTAGTAGTAGTAGTAGCGGTCGCCAGTTTGGCTCAGTGGTGTTGAGTGAGTCTGTCGGACATTGTAGTATCATCCATCACAACTAGATTTGCTGCGTCATTAACTCTTATTTCAAGTTCCTAACGTTTTGTACGTCGAACCTAATTTAGGACGACTTATTGAAATCAATCTAGACGTCACATTGCTTCCTATATATACATTTCCTTTATGGTCATGTGATCTACTTAATTCAATAATGGGATCGCCTGTGTTTGCTCACTGGTGATCTATGTTCAAACTCAAATATCGGTAGCGACACTTTATTCCTATGTCACAGTCACATAACGTTTATTATATTATGGTCTGGTGCCCCCTCTGTTAACCTCGAGGTCCTAGACAAAATCTAGAGACGCAATGTGATAGGTCCTGATCAGGCATCTCGTCTACAATCACTTTGTCACAGGCGTCCTGTGGCTTCCTCTGTCTTCTCTACAAATATTTTCATAGCAACTGATCTGACGAGCTACTTTCACTGGTACCCAACTGCAGGAATTTAAGCGTGCGACTAGGTTGGCATCTCGGTCCCACTCTTTTTTTTTTTATTATGATAGGTCACAGCTTTGAAGCCTGAGTCCTTTTTAATACTCTCTGATTTATAGTCAAGATTTTCCTTATACAATCGAATCAAAACCGAAGTTTTTTAGAGGGCGTACCTTTTGATTCCATTGTTTAAAAACTCGAGAATTACCATCCAATCAAACATCGTTTGAAAGTTAAATTTGGCTGGGTTTTGATAACATAAAAACCGATTCAATTCTTGATAAAATTACACCTCAAAATCTTTAAACCGTATGGCTTCATTTTGTTGAGTTTTTTTTTTATATCAATTTGAACCACTTTTACCCAAATCTTTACGCATCAATTTTCATTTATTTTTATTTTTAATTTATTTAATTTAATTTAATTTTTTTTTATAAGTCGCCTGTGTTCATTTTGTTGGTTCCTTCATCAAATTAACTGTGTTGGTAACATTCTAATTTTTTTAAAATACAATTTAGCATCTGCTTTATTATAATTATATATAATTTTATAATTTAATTTATATATAATTTTATAATTTAATTTATATATAATTTTATAAAATAATTTAATTTTTTTTCCATAAATCGCCTGTATTCATTTTGGTGGTTTCTTTATCAAATTAACCGTGTTGGTAACATTTGAATATTTTTAAATACAATTTAGCATTTGCCTTATTAAAAATAATTTTTATATTCATTTTTACAAATTTTCGTATTTTCTTATATTTTCATACGATTTTAATATTATTTTTTTTATTAAAATAACTCCTATATTAATTTTTACACAAATCCGATATTTTAATTATACAATCTAAATATTAGCATTTTTATTAAACATAATTTTTATGAGAATGAATCTTATATCAGTCACATATGTTTATTATATTATATTGTCATAATTGATCTGTTACTTATTAGTTATTGTTGCTAATAATACCTACGGTAAAAATGACTCCTTTATCCGTCACATATTTTCGATAATAATAATCTTCTATTGTAAATTAATCCTGTTATTCTCGTTTATGTTATAAAAAGATCACACGTAACAACGAATATTATATCTGTTACATAACATTATTTTTTTTATTGTTATAAATATTACTGTCAAAACGTCCTGGGTATGACGATAAACTACATCTGACAGCAAGTCTTCTGATCAGAAGTTTTGAGGAGCGTGGAACCACCTCTTAATTACTGGTGTAGCCAAGTTCACCCTGACACAAGGTGGTAGAACCTGTTAGGAACCCACCTATGGGAAAATAGTTACACCCCCCCACACACACACACAAAAGGGATCAAAACACTATGAAAGTATAAAAATAGGTTTTATTACCAGCAATACTTTTTTGGAAATATTTTTTACTAGCAATACATTTTTGAAAAAATATTACCAGAAATATGTGTTTGAAAAAAAATTACCTGCAATGCATTTTGACAAAAAATATAAACAGCAATAAATTTTTGAAGGAAAAAATTATGACCAGCAATACATTTTTGAAGGAAAAAATATTATCAGCAATACATTTTTGAAGAAAAAAATATTACCAACAATACATTTTTGAAGGACAACAAATTATCAGCAATAGAATTCTGATGGATAAAATATTTGCAGTAATTGATTTTTGGAAAAAATATTACCAATAATAAAATTCTTGTCGGCATTAAATAACCCATTGAGGTTAATATGCCATAAGACAAACCAAACCAAACCTGTTTTTTTATACTGTTGTTTCTTCAAATACAACTAGTAAGAACAGATATTATAACTGTTACATAACATTTATTACGGCATATTGTTATAAAATATTACTGTAAAAAAATAATCTCTTATTTACTAAAGCTTTGCTGTATATGGTAGAAAGTTAGAAATTCTTTCGATCCATAAGAAAGCGAAACGAAAACAAAAGAAAGAAATGTCAACTTCATCGCATACCCAACGTTATTTTCTACGTATATTTCCGTGGACTGGTCGATAAGGTTTCCTACCACGTGGCATCAATAGGAGTGGAGATATCAAAACAGATTTTAAAGTGTATTCTGCAATACATAAAATACTATTCAAAGAATGTTGTTAATTTCAAGCTGTAAATATACATATCTGAAGTAAGAGAGAAGAGAAGAAAAATGTGCAAAGTAAGAGAGAAGCGACAGAAATGTGAAAAGTAAGACAGAATAAATCTAAAATGTGAAAAGTCAGAGAGAACAGACTGAAAATGTGAAAAGTAAGAGATAAGCAACAGAAAATGTGTGAAGTAAGAGAGAAGCGAGGGAAATGTGAAATTTAAGACAGAAGCCATCTAAAATGTGAAAAGTCAGAGAGAGCAGACTGAAAATATGAAAAGTAAGAGAGAAGAAGGAAAATATGTAAAGTAAGAGAGAAGAGATGGAAATGTGAAAAGTAAGATAGAATCGATCTGAAATGCGAGAATTCACAGAAAACAGACTGAAAATGTGAAAAGTAAGAGAGAAGCGACAGAAAATGTGAAAAGTAAAACAAAAGTAAAAAGAAAAATGACGAAAAATGAGAAAAGAAAGAAGATACGGAAAATCTAAAAAGTAAGAGATAAGTGAAAGGAAATGTAATAAGTAAGACAAAATCGACATAAAATATGAAAATTAAGATATCAAAAATCTGGAAAGTAAGAGAGAAGCGACTGAAAATGCAAAAAAGTGAGCAGCAATCGAAAATGAGGAAGTTCAGCGAGAAAAGACGGAAAATATATAAAGTAAAAAAAACAAAGGATGAAAAATGTGAAAAGTAAGAGAGAAAAGACGGATATTATGTTAAATAAGAGAGAAGAGAGGAAAAATGTATAAAGTAAGAGCAAAACGGCCGAAAATGTGGAAAGTAAGGCAGAAGAGTCGGAAAATATAAAAAGTAAGAGACAAGAGAAAGGTAAATGTGTAAAGTAAGTGAGATCCGACCGAATGCATGAGAAGTAAGAGAAAACCGACATTATCCTGTTGCAAGTAAAAGGAAAGAAACGGAAAATGGGTAAAACATTAGAGAAGAGGCGGAAAATGTGTAGAGTAAGGAAGAATCAACGGAAATGCTGTAAGAGAGAAGAGATGGAAGATGTATAAATTAAAAGTGAAGTTAGAGAATATATTTAAAATAAGAGAAGAGCACACACACTGTTAATTACTCGTTCTCGAAGTGTCCCCTTATTCTGTTGGTATAGAAAGCAGATGGGTGCACATCCTACGCAAACACCAGCAAAATATTACTGTACCCCACCGATGGGGCATGTGCTCCATGATGAGAATCATTGGTCTAGAAAGATGTCCGCCCAGCAATTTCATGTCATCAATGCACTGGCTGAATTAGTCTACTTCGTTTAGTTAGATAGTCTTTGATACTAACAAAAAGCTTTGTCCCATCCTTTGATAGGTTTTGATTTTAATCTATGGGGTCGTTAATACAGAGTTTCATGGGACTTACATCACACGTAGAGAGAAATAATTGACTTATGGGCTAACGGCCATTTCACATTGAAACACCAGTAACGTTGAGATTGGTCAGTACCTAGATGAGGAACCGCTTGGGAATACCAGGTGTTGTAAGCTTGGATGTGTTGCAATGGATAATGACACGTATAGGACATCAGGCGAACCTTTTTTTTACCTCTTCCTCAGGTCCTGTCCTGAAAAATTCCTCGCAGAAGGTTTACTCCAGCTAGGTACTTCCTATCACTCCCTAGACAGTGTCAAACCAAAGGTATCACCTGATAGACCGTTCCATAGAACGATCTTTCAGTACATGAAAGCAGACTGCGACAGCTTCAGACCTTATATGGCTGAATCTTTTCCCTAAAACACACTGCCCCCAAACAGCTGCCCTTGTATCAGAATGAATCTTCACTTGAGTGGAGAGTTTTAGAACCCGGAAAAAATCCAGCTGAAGCCGAACCGCCGTCCCTGGTTCAACCCGAATGTGCTGTAGTCATACCTCATCGTAATCTCTACTACAATATCTATCACAGGGAACGGTGGAGTAGGACACTTGCTGTATTCAGAACGTCCTGTAATCACTGTTCTAGAAAATGCAAAGTGTAGCTATGCACAAGAAGTCCAGGCCAAGGTTGAAAGCAAACAAATTGGATCCCGGGAGTTCTGGAAAATCTACAAGCAAATTCTGAATAGAGGCAAAACATCAGAGTCTAATAACGTGAAGCCCAAGGAGACAGTCTTTTTGCTTGCAAAGAGATGGCTCCCTGGACCGAATATACAGAGACTCAAGTGCCCTCAAATGAAATGGAGAGTGCGAACTGAACAGTACAGTAAACCAATTCGGACTGAAGTTCTTCGCACAATCCTGCAATTTATTAAATGTTCAGTGATCCTTGACCCGGAAGTATTAACCAACTGGCTCTTACGAGCATCCGGATTAGAACTCGCAATGGGACATGCTGCCTGATCCCACAATCTAAACGTTGGGAAGTCCTTCCTATGTAGTTGCTACCGCAACCACATTTAAAAGATCTTTGCCTCTAATCCACAATGACAAAGGTCATTCGCCTCCCGGCTTACAGCGTCTCAGTGAGCATAATCCCAGTAGCCTTTTCATTACAGCCCAGGAAGTTTCTACACTCATTAAAACTCCTGACTTTAAGACTCAAATTTCGCTCCTTCCCGAAATTAAGACCAGTTTCGACCCCGACACCGCCCGCTCGAGATCTAGACAAATTTTGACTAGTGGCTTGAGCGTCCTCACCTTAAGCCCTGACCTTGTGTCGCATCCCGCCTCAGTGGGGAGGCTACGGGTTAATACAGACTCTAAGGTCACCGGTCCAGAACAAATCAGAGAATTATCCGCAATTCTAGCAAAACTATTTAACCAAGTCTTTATTATTTATTTATTTTTACATTAAGGCTCACCCTGTAAAAGGTCCGGAGACCACTCGGGGTAAAAGTTTACGATAAGGGATAGTTTATATGGATAGGTGGGGAAGATAACGGTTGACTCTAGACTTGAACAGGTTAAGATTGTAGTGATCGGGGAAACATCCTCTAGGGAGTCTGTTCCATAGGGCAGCGGTTCGCAAGAAGAAGCTGTTTGAGTGGAACTTACTTCACGCCGATGGAATACGAAGGAAATGTGGGTGGTTTGCTAATATGTGAGTGGCATGGCAGGTCCAAGCTGTGATGGTCAGACCTGGTGGACCACGAGATTCAGTTCGTCCAAGCATTTCCCATGTATGCCTGGTTTTGAAAAATGCGCGTGAGCGCTAATCTTCCTTGCTGTATGAATATATCAGTCATCAGCTGTAATCAACAAGAACGACAAGCAGTATGGATTTCGAATTGCCTGGTCCACTGCTGATATCATAATTACGATTACTCACAGAATTAGTGAAGCACTTGACAACAAATACAACAAATATCAAAGACGATCGCATTAGATATTCCAAACGCCATTGACAAGGTGTGGCATAAGAGGTTACTGCTCAAGGTCACGAGCTATGGAACCACTGGGAGAGTTTTCTCAGTTATAAAGAACGGTTTGGTCCCTGAAGGTAATTGTTAATGGCCTGTTAGACGAATACCAAGCGATAAAACGGTATATGCGGGCACCTCCAAAAACCTCAATGACCAAAGCTTGGCAGCTGATCTTTCTTCTGACTTCACTTCAGCAGCTCAGTGGGGAAACCACTGGTTGGTTACATTCAATGTCCTCACAGACATTCTACCATCGCCGATCGGACCCAGAACTTTCACCAATCGAGATGAACAGATGTTCCCTGAGGGAGACCCCGTACCATGACCGTCTATAGTAGCTTAAACTCAACCCAGACCTCAAGAGAATCTCGTACATACGATCCATCGCTGGTAAAATGGTCGGTCCCCTGTACCGCTCCATAAAGTACTTCACCCCTCCTGCTATAGTCTACCTTTACAGGAGCCAGATCCGACCGAAAATGGTGTACTCCTCTCATATCTGGATGAGAGCTGCCCAGTCTTCACTTTCCACTCTCGATAGAAACCAAAGTCATCTCCACGTCCTTGTAGACAACGAATTGCTTTCTACTCTATTTACATTGTTCAGACTATCGTCCTCATCTTTGTTGCCATATTTATCACAGCGTTTCGGCCGTTGCACACTCCGGCCTTCTTCAGGGGGTTGCCATGTCGAAATGAACCCTTTATTTCGCTCGCTGGGGTAGACTGTTCTTGTTCCACGTGCCATGTCTAATGGATGTCAGCTATCAATTATCTCTTCAAGGACACATGGCACAGTGGATAAAGGCTTTAGTTAGATCCAGTGACATGACCCAAAGTGTGTAAGTTCAATACCTGGTTAAGGCAGTGGGAGACTTGGAGAGGGGAATTAACAGGAGATAACTGATAACTGGCATCCATTAGACATGGCACGTGGAACTAGAACAGTCTATCCCAACGAGCGAAATAAAGGGTTCAGTTCGACATTCCAACTACTTGGAGAAGGCCGGAGTGTACAATGGCTGAAACGTTCTAACAAATATGGCGACAAAGATAAGGACAATAGTCTGAATAATGTAAATAGTGTACATAATACCTCATCTCAGAAATATAGACAGATACTGAAGGGCCGAAACGTTGTGAAAAATATGGCAACTCACTGATCTCCACCAGGTATATCATGCTTTGCTTTCTCTTTCCTCCTTTTACCTCTATTCGACCAGTGAGTATCAGATTCTCCAAGCCCTCCTTTTTCATGTCCTAGAAATTTCATCTGCCTCTTTCTTATGTTAAGTATAAGCTTCCTCCTTGTTTGCATCCTCTCTAAAACATCATCGTTGCTCGCATGTTCGGTCCATGGTATCCTTAGCATCCTTCTGTAGAACCATACCTCCGTTGCCTCGAGTCCCTTCTTCATCTTTGAGGATGTCGTCCAAAATTCGCTGCCTGCAAAGGAGGACTGATGTGATGTAACAGCTCAGTACTCTTTTCTTTGTTACCAATGAAATCCTCCTGTCTCGTAATACTCCGCCTAGCTTTTGGAATGCGTCTTTGGCCATTCCAATACGTCTTCGAATCTCAGCGTCGCACTTACCGTCCTCTGTCAAAACACTTCGCAGATATTTAAATTTCCGCACCTGCTTGATTTTAGTGTCCTCTGATCTGTAAATCGCATTATGGACAATGTGAAGACACAAGGGACACAATGGAAACTCGAAATAAGACGCAATAAGAGACGCTTTAGTAACATCAACAAACGATGTCATCCCAAAGGAGGGAAGGGCAAGGAAGGAGAAACGAATGGATGACTGATGAGATTCTCGACATGATGGAAAGGAGACAAAAACCTCTGCCAAGATACGTAACGGAGTACAGAAAATTACACAATGAAATAAGGACCAAATACAGGCAGGTTAAAGAAGAGTGGCTAAACAAAAAATATGTGCAGAAATAGAGAGATTGAGTCCCACCAACAAAGGAAATATATATAAACAAATAAGGCAGCAGGGCAGAAGACATGTTCATCAACAGGCTGTCTAAAATCAAAGGATGGAACACTCATATTAGAGAAGGAAAAAATTCGGCAGCGCTGGAGCGAGTATATTGGAGAACTCTTCCAGATTTTTATCACTAAATCATTATTATCTCAGAAAAATTCTTATAATCTAAAAATATCATCAAGCTTCAAGTAACCTGAAAAAGGTTGATAAACCGTAAAAAACGGATCAACCAATAAAAAAAATAACTTATGTAAAGTTAGTAAATGGCTGATTCAATTTAAAAATAATTCATAGAAAACCATTTCTAAGCATCAACGAATTACTGTCACTTGGTCTCGAATAAAAGACATGATAGATTATTGGTAATATATATCAGGTAAGAGAACTTACTTTTCTCTCTTCGTATGACGGACATTTGGCTACAAAATGAAAAACTATTTTGTGTCAATCAGTTTGCCAACATATATTTAAATGTGATGTTCATTTGCTAAGCTTGCCTTAATATAGTGTGTTCACCTCGTCTGTTATGCTAACAATGCTTCGACCGTTGTAGCCTCAACCGTTTCTACACGTGTCTGTCGTACACGGTAACCTACTCGGAATTTTGAACGGAAACTCTTTATTAAGAACATGATGGGGGGTAGATTGTTCCCATTCCGCTTCACATGCTTAGGGGAGATAACTCATAGTTAATATCCACAAGTCTTATTCATCATTATCTATCTATCTACCAATCTACGTTTCTCAGCCTGCCCATATCTATCTATCGCTGTCTCTCTCTCTCTCTCTCTCTCTCTCTCTGTCTCTCTCTCTCTCTCTCTATATATATATATATAGCCAAGTATAGGAATTGGTGTATACGGAATAAATTCCAATAAACAAAAAATACTATTCTTAAAAGAGTGCTCAATACAGAGTAGAGCAAATATAATTATTTACTCGAAAATTATACATAAATATGTTACAAAATCACTACAAAAATAGCCATTTTGTTTCAACACTTTTGGTGTCTTCTCAAGTGATAGTGTCAAATGTATAATAAAGGGTTTTCAAAGGTTCAAATCAATCAAACACCCCTCGACAGGGGAAACGCTGTTACATAAACTGGAATGACCAATCAAAATACAAGTATACGAGGATTCAAAAAACATAATAACGAACTTTGGTTATAATAATTATTTAATGCTTTAATATTAGGGTTAGACTAAAATAGAATTCATTGCAATTAATTAATATTAAATTATACCAATTTTAAATTTAATCGATATTAAGTTTTAAAAAATTCTAAAATTATTCAAAGGAGAAACTGAGGAAAAAATACATATGTTTTGTTATTTATCTTGTTTTTATTGGTTGGCCGAAAATTAAGCTGGAAAAAAACGTTAAAATCTAATGTTGCTCTGAGCTTCGTTACAACTTAGATCCATTTGAAGTGATGATATGGGCAGGGGAGGGTGAAATCTTGTAAATGAGAATACTTACATAATCAGATTATAATACACAAACGTGTAGACATATTTAGATATATAAACACACAAAAAAGCGAAGAGACATGAAAATAGGTGTGTCCACGACCTTTAAAAAAAAAACACAACATATACATACAATGAAAGGCACATATAAGCTATTATATTTTCGAATAAATATTATATATATATATATATATATATATATATATATATATATATATATAGTCAGTCTTTTCATATATCATTCTATCTATTTCAGGCTGTTCATATATCAATCTATCTATCTAGCTAACTAACTAGCTAGCTATGCAATCTGCACTCTGTAAACTTATATCTCATTCGGTCCCTATTTATATGTTTGAGTTTGTTCTTATTTACGTATTTTGACTCTCTCTTTCTCTCTCTCTCTCTCTCTATCTATCTATCTATCTATCTATCTATCTCAGCCTGCCCATATCTATCTATCTATCGCTCTCTCTCTCTCTCTCTCTCTCTCTCTCTATATATATATATATATATATATATATATATATATACAAGTATAGGATTGGTGTATGAGGAATAAATTCCAGTAACCAAAAAATACTATTCTTAAAAGAGTTCTCAATACAGAGTAGAGCAAATATAATAGTTTATTCGAAAATTATAACATAAATATATATACAATTTAAGTGTCTTTTGAATGTCTAGATTCTGACAGTCTAAAATTACATAGAGATGTTGGCTTATTAGTTGTTAAAAACTCTATAAAAATTAAGGTAGACCGTATTAGAAAAATGATCCGTAGGGAGTTTAAGGATTAGCTCTTAGAACTATAGTTACGACTAACATTAAATGGGTAGATTTTCTGGACGTCACCGTAGACCTTACTTTCGAACTGTATTTGAAGGTTAATTCTAACCCAGTATATTTGCATCCCAATTCCAATCCCCTCACTTTGGTTATCAAGCTCACACCCTCCTCTATTGAATTTAGGATTAGTACTAACTCTTCTAGCAAAGGGGATTTTAATAAACATCGTAAATTTTACAAATCTGCCCTTAGAAATAGTGGATACAAGGGTACCACTATTCAATATAGAAATCCTGTTAATTATGACCATAATAAGAAAAGAAAATTCAGGAAGATCATTTGGTTTACTCCCCCTTTTAACCTACTGGTTAAAAAATAAACTAGGACATAAATTTTCAAATCTCATCAAGAAGCATTTCTCCGACCCAGAAACTAACCCACTCAGTAAAATATTCACTCATAATACACTTACATTAAGCTATAGTTGTGCGGATAACCTGGAGAAAATAATTAAGAAACATAATAACAGGGTCTTCAACAAGTATAGGGACTCAAAAAACTTGACTACGCAACAGGTTGCAAGTAGTACAACTAAATATAATGACACAAGTAACAACTTGTGCATTTGTAGGAATTCAAATAATTGTCCCTTACATAATAATTGTTTGATTAGTTCTCTAGTTTATCTTAGTACAATTTCTACACTAGAAAACCCAAATATTAAAAAATTTTACATTGGAAGTACTATGAATTCATTCAAAAAACGTTGGCGGGGACATATGCAATCTTTCAATAGTAGTAATTATACGTTTTTGGAGTTT